ATGTCAGACAGGTGCTGAACATGCAGATTGTTTCTATAACAAAAATTGCTGAGGGTTCTATCGTGGGTTAACAGAATGTAAACAAGAAAACATTGATGTAACCATCAATTGTCGCCCGGGAAATAAATAAAGTAAACAATGGAAATGAGTCTTTATCATGAAACCGCTTCAATAAGTGTGAAAAAGGCATGCGTCTAAATGATGGAGACGATAGTCGAGAATATTTTGAAAACTTATAGTCGGATGAAAATCGAACAAAAACGATACCCTTTTAAACTTTATCAATTCCTCAAGTAAATGTTGGCTGCATAAAATATAATTTGAAACCAGACACATGCATCACCTATTTTCAATAAATATCTTTCACTTTAAGAATATAAAACACGAACTGTGTAAAGTACATTTTTACGTTTTTATGCGATAAGTAAATTCGATGTTCTAAAAAAAGGGACCTGTCGTTTTTTCGATAGTAAATGATAAGCAACTTTATATATTAAATATGAAAAACATATATATTTTTACAGATTCACTTTATGGAAGTAAATATATTGTGTATCTCGTAATTTATAAAGGGAAAGAACATTCTGATTAACAATCTTTTTAATGTTTAGAAAACCTTTAATTCTGAATAACTTCTCCCACCTCAATCCCCATATACCAACACTTAAACTTATATGTATAGAGCAGCCCGGTCCTCCGGGCTGCAATAACACGTGTATCTTTTTGTTGCCGTTTTCAAATCTCATAAAAAATTGCTTGTGGGGTTAATTTTAATGACTTATTTCAGGAGAATCATACGTCATATGGGGAAAGAAAACATGTCCCTCTGTGAATGGTACTCATACTGTGTATAGTGGTAAGATGCTTTTTTCTTCTTCAAGCTTCCTTTAGGTAGCCTCTTGAAACAGGTTTGATTGTATTAACGTGCAAATTTAATGGTTAAACTTACTTCAAAAATTGAAGAAAATAATTAACAAACATCCTCAAATGCGCCAGGAAAGTATTTAGCACTTTTTCCTTTGATTGACGGCGAACTCGTAAGATATTTCTGTGTTTGTATCGTTCATATATGTAGTTTTAAGGATTGAAAATGGCCAAATATGCATAAATACATGAAAATGTTCTTAAGTCCTTCAGAACGCTAGAATTAAAACAGTCTCATATCAACCACATAATTTTTTTTAGTATGTGTATCTTATTTTCAGGAATATCAGCAGGAAGACAATTTCATTATCATGGAAGCGGAATCAATACGTTATGCATGCCACACAATCCCGACCCTACCCCTTCCGACTTTCCAACTTCGTACCAAAATGTCAATGGAGATTTATTCGGTACTATCTTTGGTGCAGAATACGAATTCACCTACAAAGGCGTTGCCATCAACGACGATGTTCCTTGTGCTCTGTGTTTGGCTTCACGCGCCTCCTCCGTAGCAATGATCCCCGCCAAAACATCATGTCCAACAGGTTGGTCCACTCAGTATACGGGAGTATTGACTTCCGGTTCCGATTATGCTAGTCATTATGGGACAGAATATTTGTGCGTCGATGTCAATCCAGACTTCTTGACGGAAGGATCACGTCTGTATGATTACAATGGAAAACTATTCTACCCAGTGCGAGCTGTTTGCGGGTCATTACCTTGTCCACCATACAAAAGTCAGCAAACCGTCTCTTGTGTGGTGTGCTCTATATAGCGTCTTGCCAAATCTTATATGTGATATGGATTGATAAAGAATGTTTCTCTTTCTGGAGTTTTGTCATTTCTAATTGTCTCTTAACTTTTCCAACCCTTAAAGTTTGATAAGAGACATGTATAATATTTATATCCGCACTCTCAGAAAGAAAGTTTGGGTATATTGTTGTTATCTCGGTCCGTCCGTCTGTCAAACTTTCTTCTTCCTGTTATTCCTCTTACAATTTAACCAGTAATCAATTTATCTTTTGGATTATGTTACACTGTATATAGGTGATGTCCTGTAGATGTGCAATAAGGTTTCGGCGTTTTCATTTTCATCCTGGGGGCCGAATGGGAGTTAAAAAACAAAGGTTTTTTTTCTATAAAACCTGGTTCCCAAAACTCCTCTTCCATTTTATGCAGTTGCCAATCATCTTTTGCAAGATGATTGGTGGTGTCCTGTAGATGTGCAAGAAGGTTTCATTAATTTAAATTTTTACCTAGGGGTCAAAGGGGGGGGGGGGGGTCGAAAGCGACGTTTTTAGGTCTCCTTGGTCACTCAGGTGACCTTTTGCTATCTCTTTTAGTCCTTCATTGTGCGACGTGCGTTGTTCTTAAACGTTTGAATAAATTCATCTACTTTTCTTGAACCATTGAACCAAATTCAACCAATTTTGGCAAATACACGAAGCATCAGTGGGTGAAGGGGTACAAAAATTGTGAATTTAATGGTCCCCGTCCCCATGGGGCTTGAGGGGTGGGGCTTAAACCATCAAAATTGGTGCTATCTTTTAAAATCTTCTTTACTCCTGAACATCATTTGTACAATTGTTGTTGTAATTGTAATAAGCATTGAGATTTCTACCAGAATTGTGAAATTCATGGCCCAGGGCAGGGGTACTGGAGTAAAGGCAAAGAATATGCATAAATTCTTTAAAATCTTCTTCTCTCCCTTTATATTTCAAAGATAAACTAGGTGCATGTTATGATGAGCAAGGGTGCCTTTTTTGAAATTGTGAAATTTGTGTCCCCAGGGTCAGGGGTTGGTAGGGTGGGGATTCTATTAATTGAATAGTGAAAAATGCATTATTTATTTATATCCTTTTTCTCTGCTCCTAGGTATTAAACAGATAACTAAATGCATAGTTAAAATGTGCAAAGATGCCTCTTCCAATATTCTGAATTTTATGGCCCCTAGGCTAGGGGTTCTCGTGTTAGAGTGGAGTTCTAATGATTATATCGTTAAAATATGTCAGTATAACAAGATAACTAACGAGATAATTAACCCTTTATAACGAGATTATAACCCAGGCTCTAGGAATGTTGCAGTGTAGACGAAATTTGCATTATATGCTGTGGGTACTGTATACAGGGAAATTTTCACCCCCGTTTTTTTTTTTATTTTCTCCCCTTTCACTCTCGTCGCATGTGAACGAATTTAAAACTGGGCAAATTCAAAGTAAACAAGCTTATCTCTTTAACACATCTGTGTCTGGGCAAATTTGATACGGGGCAAAATTGTTTGAAAGTTTAAAAGGGCGAAAATAACATGGGGCTAAAATAACCTCGTATACAGTTTTTCATAATGATGGGTTTTGCATTATATGCTTCGGGTATTTCAATACGATAAGATGGTTTTGCATTATATGCTGTAGCTACTTCATCATGATGAGGTGGTTTTTCATTGTTTCTTGTGGGCACTACATTATAATGAGGTGATTTTTCATTATTATATACTATTGGTATTTCATTTTGATGAAGTGGTTTTGCATTATATAAGTACAAGCAATGTAAAACCTCCTCTTAATAATGAAATACCTACAGCGTATAATGGAAAAACCACCCAATCATAATGAAGACCCATCAAATAAGGAAGTTATAGCATTCCATAAAAGGCTATTCTATCTGTTGCAAGCTACATGTGTTTGCGTGTCATTGCTTTGTCCACCATACAAAACCAAGCAAACTGCAATAAAATATTTTCCATCTTATGTAGTGTTGATCTTATCACAGATTTCAGTTTTAAAAACGCTTGCAAATGGCTTAAAACATCATTTTTTCTAACCAAGCTCAGTTATATTAGGAAAAAAATCAAACAGAAAGCAATAGCTAGGTAAAGAATGTTGAAAGAATCTACTTGCCATAGTTAATGGACTTGAACACCGATTACATAATTTTAGAGTTTATAGGTCGACAACATAATCAATAAACAATTTCACACATTAGATTTATGATATCCATTGTATTTTTCCATCTTCCTGATTTTAAGAAGCCTTTAAAATAAGGGACTATTTCGAAAAAAAAAAGTGAAACTAAAATTTCCATAAGCATTATTATATTCTTTTTCAAAAACTTTATGATATAATAAATGATGCTTAAAATAATACATGTATCCCTACGACTAGTATCATAAAAATTATATTCTACACCCTCAATCAAGAGTTAAAGGAGCTGTGCCTTTTTATACATAAACAATTCAATGCGGAATCAACATTTATATAGATTTTGGACAAAACTGACATCATTAAATTATAGACTCTTTGATATTAATTTTGAAAATATGTTTCTTCAATTTCAAATAAAAATGGGTGCAGATTAAGTCTCCATATAATGATTGATATATTTACCCATCTATAATCCACGGCACTGTAAAAATTTTTAACCATTTATGGATTGAAGTCCTTCGTTTGTTATGCAATAAATTTCCTGTACCGTTTACAATGGAGCAATAAACATCACTAGCAGTTCAATTTATGATCTAAGCTTCCAGGAGTGTGTAGTTTTGTCATTTTTAAATCAAAAAGTGCTTAGCAATCAGAGTTCAAAAAGTAGAAATAATTTGTAAAATTTGTTACCCAAGACATTTAACCTGAAAGAGCATACAGGGAGGTGGTTATTTAAGATATATTGGTCTACTCGGCAGGTTGGGTGATCTAATTCTAGGTTCTATGATCTAATTCTGTGCTTGTAAATTATGGAAAGAGTTTCATATTAAAATTGGTTATATTTTTCTTGTGACAGTTTAATTGGTGGTTTCCACAAGATTGTCCTATTACAATAATTGTCCCAATTTTAAAAGCCTTTAAAGTGATTTGCAGAAGTTAAAAATTAAAATGTATTTTATTATTCAAGACTTTGCCATACTTTATCCAATGCAAAAGACTCCTCTCCCAGTCCACCAACAAACTGCACAAAAATGTTAATTCCCTTTTAAAATCAAAACAGTTTTTTAAGTCACTTAAATAATTAAAGATGTTTTCAGATGTAAATTGTTTATTGTCAGCATCATCTAAATTTCAGGAAATAAAAATCTGAAAAAATAAAAATTCTGCAAATTTTATTGCAGACATTCTGACAAGAGAAATCAATTTGTCATATATCTGTACCATACACAGAATGTGTATCCCCCAAAAAACATTCTTGTATTTCAATTAAACACACAGGAAGCAAGGTCACTAAAACAGGAACTTTGCTGAATGGTCCAAGATTAGATAGAGAGCCTGCTCTCTGGTCAGTTTGAGTCCATCACTGTATAAGATGTGGTCACTGTCAGCCTGTTTGTTTGACGGGAGCTATGGCCTGGTACAGGTTTTTAACAGCAGTTTGTAATACTTGACGCAATTCTTCATCGTCACACCTCACCTCCTTAAATAAGAATTTGTTTAGGTAATTTATCAGAACAAAGAATATTGCCTAAATATAAACCAGCAATAATAGAATTTTACAAAAAATAAAGATTCATGTTGGGGTCAGTTCTATGTATGTAAAATGAGACAAAGAAAGGGGGGGGTCTGCACAATTATCCATTGGAGCTAATTTCTGAATGTGACTTAAAATGGTTACCTCAAATTTTGTGCAACTTTGAAAAGCATACACAATGTGTTAACACTCTGAAATGTGCACAATTTTCTAAAATGAGAATGATTATAGAAAGATATTAGTCAAATCTGTCTGTATCACATTTCAAGTGTGTGTGCAGTCTGTGTGCAGTCACAAAGACTTAAATCTGTCTATTTCTAGTGAAATCCAGTTCTTTTTTTCTAAAGTCCTCATTTACATGCATATCATCTGCAGAAATTGCCAAAGTATAACAACAGCTTACCAGTGAGTCAACATTGACAGTGGCAATCTTCTCGTCCACTGTGACAGTCACCATGTTGTTTCTGATCATCTTGCTGATTCCCTCACTGCCAAACATGTCTGTTAACATCTCCAACAGGCACTCCTGTACATGGGACTTGTCTACAACCAGTGGGGGCGGTACACCTATCAAAAGTTTAGATTCATAAATATTAAAGAAAGTGCAAAATCTGCTGGTGAGCTACAGAAATATTTTTTGTGAAAAGAAATGTCAAAATACAGAAATTTTCTCAATGGTGAATTTAGTTTCAATAAGAAGGGTAGAATACTTCTAATGCATTTTATACAGACATGGTCTCTCTAACTTCACCATATGGTATTAATTTGCACAAGATCTATATGTGTACATGTATACTGAAGGTCTGCACAAAAATTCTACTTACTTTTTTGAGGCATGGGGTCACTCTCTGCCCTCAATACTACAGTCACCACAGCATCAGCATACATATCTGTCACAGGATTGGCTACCCACTGTAATGAACAAACATTTGTAACAGCATTAATTTACAGCATCAGCATACATATCTGTCACAGGATTGGCTACCCACTGTAATAAAACAAACATTTGTAACAGCATTAATTTACAGCATCAGCATACATATCCATCACAGGATTGGCTACCCACTGTAATAAAACAAACACTTGTAACAGCATTAATTTACAGCATCAGCATACATATCAGTCACAGGATTGGCTACCCACTATAATGAAACAAACTTTGTAATAGCATTAACTTTACAGCATACCTGACAATATGAATTTCTTTGTTAATACTAAGAAATTGCAACTTATATTTGTCCTCATATTAGGTTTCCACAAATTCATACATTAACTTATTTTTTTTCTCTAAGTCATTTTTTAAAAGTAATATCAAAGTCTAGTTTCCATTCTACTTTACCTCAATAATGACCATCTTTGGTTCAATGACGAGGAAGACAGACTTAAATATCCTCAGTGTTGGTTTGTCTGCCTTCTCCATGTGTTCAATGTCTGAGGACAGCTGGTTAAGGTAGTACTTGAGTAACGCCACAGTCCCGGTGTACGCGATACTCAGTCTCTGGGTTACAGTACTCATAGCTAGGTCAGTGTAATCTGTTAGATACACATCATTACATTAAGATAGAGGAATCACTTGAAGTGTGTGATGAACAGTATGTACCAGTGTATATATTGTTAATCACTTTTGTGAGAATTTGAATATAAGACGATTATTAAGTTTAATTCCTTATCATAGGATTGATGCACAAAAATTAGATGTATAACTCGAAAATACACAAAAAGTGTTACCAACTCATAATACATCACAGAATATATGGGATTAACATTTTCTGAAACAACAGTTTTAAAAAATGACTCCCAAATTAAAACTATGGTTTTTATTCAAGTCAAATGCAAAACTAAATTCCTATTATAAGTCTGAATAAAATTATCAGGTTTTTTTCCCAATGATTTTAATTTTAATTTCAAAACCTTCTGTAGCCTTACTTGAGAGATCAGTGGGAGCCATTATGTGATAATTAAAGTTTCTTTTGACCAGTATCCCTGAGATTCTCTGATCCTGTTTTGGCTTTTCTGAGGCAAGACTTCCAACAATCTGCAGATGAAGTACTCAAAAATAAGTAGTGTAAACAAGCAAAAGTTATTACTTCCACTCCATCCTTACACACTTTCAATACTGCAATATCTAACTAGGGTAAAATCACGTACTGTGGAATCATCATTGTTTGTGGGGGATCAATGTTCGTGGATTTCGTGGGTAACCCTTACCCACGAATTTACATCCCCACGAACAACTACTTTGTCAATGTACTGATTAATTAGATCAACCAAATAAACGAGCTGCCCACGAAATTACATCCCCACGAACCAATAAAATTTTGCTTGCCCACGAACATTGACCCCCATGAATTTAAATGATTCCACAGTATAGCAGTCAATCTGTCAACATGAGCAAACTCAGAGATGGATATCTGATATTTTTTAGCATATAAAGAACTTTGCATTTCATGTACCTTTGCCATTTTTTCTCCTCTGAAGTGCAGTTCCACAGCCACTGTGTTCCTGGGGTTGTGGACATTCATTTGATATTCTGTGTCATCTTCATACTCCCGAATCAATGCTGCCTTCAGACGGGACATTTCATTCTGTTCTCCATGTACAAGCACCTGTCAAGATAGGTACATGTATAAAATGCAGAAAGTTTCCAACTTATTCTCAAAATTGATAAAATGTTATGTTCATAAATATCAAGCTGTTTAAACCTCAACTGTGGCCATTTTGAATCCATCAATTTGACAGGGTTACAAGTAACAATACTGTAAACCAACTTTTTTTTTTCAAAATATCCGTGATTTTTTTTTTCTTCTTTCAATTGCAAATATTTCTTGCCAGAAACCATTTATTTTACTGTGTACATTTTTTATGTACTTTGTCCCTTCAGTCATGAAAATTAATAGTCGCAGATTAATTTCAAACTGACATATTGTGATTTAAAGTTGTCCCAAATATTGCTTGGTTTACAGTAATCTGTGAATGAACTACATACCACATGAGCTGGTTTAAGGGCTCGGAGGAATTCACTGGTCTGTTTATAATCGGTGTGAGCAGAAAATGATATGTAATCTACAGAACACTTCAGGGGTAGCTTCTGTCCAGACATTGTTACAATCTCATCAGGTTCTGACAAAATATGCTACAAAGAAAGTTTTAAAAATTTACAATGACTACTACTTTGATTGTAAAGATAAATGTATTGCTAGAATTTCAACTCTAATAACATCTCTGATGTAATTTAATCTTTAAATGAAATAAAAATTTGCACAGAGTTTGTGAAAAACAAAATGTGACCCTATTTAACACTGCCATTTTTTTAAAAAATGTATATAACTTTTACCTTTACTATTATTGTACCACATTCACTAGAATGCTCTTCATTCTATGATACAACCTTTTCTTTTGCCTGTATACCAGCTTTACATCTATAACAACAGTACTTACCTTGGCTAGGGTTCCCTCCACACAGTAACCTGCTATGATACAGCCATTTCTTTTGTCTGTACACCAGCTCTCAAACAATTCTCTGGAAAGACCACTCTGCATCATTCCAGGGCTGGCCAAGACCACAGAGGGCCCAATGTCTTCAAAGTGCTCCATACTCTACAATCAAAATACAAGTCCAGTTGAAACATGCTGTATTTTTAAAAATTACACAAACATTACAGTCGCAAGTATCACTGACCAAAATAATTCAGTTGTTAAAGAAACATATAGAGTCAAACCTTGATATAAAGGCAAGACTGTTTATTAAAAAAAAACAAACAAACAATAACTGAAACTTCAGAGTTCTTGATATAAAAGTTACCTGTATTCACAACAAAATCTAGACCACTAACACTTACATACCTCCAGGTATTCGATTTTTCAATGTACATGCAACAAAGTTAAACTGTTATAAATCTATTTTAAATTCTTTTTTATTTACTCGTGTAGCACTATTGATGAAAAAATACACAGCTGTTGATCAAAATATATATTCTTTTTGATAAACATATATAAAAATATTGTTTTTCCATGGATAATTACCTTTAAGTTTGATATATGTTTGAACACAAAAGGGTTGCTGATGTTAATTTGTCTTCGGATCTTCTCATTCATGGCATTGATGTAAGTTTGGTATACACTCATACATTTCTTTGCCAGAGATGATGCATAGTAGATTGGAATGTCATGTAACTCAGGATGGTTGCTCCAATACTCATCTTATAAAAAAAAATAGTGTCTTTCAGTTCAAAACTTTGCTTATTTATTTCTAAACTCACAATACTAAGTACAGTCAAACTTTGTTATCTACAACTCAATGGGACTGAGAAAAAAAACTTTGAGATATCCATGGGTTCAAGATATTGAGAGTACATGTAATAGCATACTTGATTCTGACCATCCGGCGCACCTGGGTAAACCGGCGATGACTGGCAACACACTTGATTCTGAGCCAGTATTGCGCACACATCAAGCCTGGTGAGCCGAATGAGCTGGAAAAATTTGATAGGCTCGGGTGGCTTCAACATGGCGTCCTTGGGGATAATAGTGTTGAAAGTTGATTGTTTTAAGACGTGAAGCTTTTGATCGAGGTACGCTTGTGAAATGAACATATTTGCAAAAAGTGTAGTCCTTTTCTATGCTAGGTAACATTTTACGATAGAAATACAATATTTCTATTACTTTACATGAGCCTGTTCACTTGATTCTAAGAGCGTACCGGGGTTTACCCGGCTTAGTTCGGCTCGGCCGAATTCTATCACAATCAAGTATGCTATAAAAAACTTATGGAAAAAGGGCTTGGGACTTTCCAATCACTTCGACATATCCATTGTATTCGTGATATCTGTGTTGGAGATACCGAAGTTCAACTGCATATTTCAAATTTTACATACATGTACATGATTAGGTAGCACTAAAACATAAATGAATTTCATCTTTTTGTGATTATGCATCATCACAATATTTATTCAGTAAATGTAATTTGTATATTCAATAAACAGAAACCATCTCTCATTCAAAGTCTGCAAAAAATGATACACTAACCTAGTATGAGCAGTAACTCCTGGGCTCTTCCAAGTGCAAACACAGGTATCAAACACCTGCCACCCCTACTAACGATGTCGTGGACCAGTCCAGTGAATCTGGCTTCTCGGTCCTCTCTCTTCTCATGAATATGAGTACCGTATGTGGACTCCTGAAATGCAGGATAGAATAGGATGTCAATGTGCTACTTGAAAATCTGATAAATGAAAATTTCACCCTTCTTAATTTAACTTGATGCTGTCTAGGTACCGAAATATCATCTTTAAGTTTTATGCTAGTAGGTGTAAAAATAGTATAAATCTAAATTTACAGAAAACTGCCATTCAGTGTTGATAAAATGTACTGTAAATCAATGTTTTATTCTCAAGAACTTTATTTTTTAATTATGCCAGACATTCTCTTCTCAAAAATTTTATTCTCAAAAACAATTGTATTATCAAAGAATACATGTACATGTACAACAATGACCTAGCTGAATTGATGAAAATTTTATCTCACTATTTACCAAATAACTATCTCACAAAAATTAGATATTTTTTTATCTACAGTACATGAACTGGAAGTGCACATAAGGCCTGCTGAATTATCTTAGATAACTTTCTTACAACATTTGCCTGAAGCATTCTCCTCATGCAAAAGAATTATGAAATGGAAAAGCACTGCAAAATTGCTGGTGAATATAAATGTTTACAATTTTTATCCTTTTTATCTCATCAGCCATTTGAAAAATATTACTTGCTTTTAATATTTATTTATACACGTTAATTTGTGCACTTTAAGATCTGTCATATCTAATGATTGTGCGCCATGAAAAGTTTCAAGTTCTGTTGGGAAAGCTTATGAAATCTGAATTTAGTTCTTAAAATTTATTGAACAGAAACATATAACTTACAACAATAACAACATCTGGGTGAATTTTTGGGATCTCAGCAGCCATTAAATGTCTGTCCTCCTGTCTGGAGAAGTCACCAGTGTATAAAACCTGAAAAAGCAGACAAGAAAATTACCAGTATAACATAAAAGAAAATACAAGTACTTAAATTAATAAATGGGTCATTTAGCTATGGTGAAAGGTGTGTAAAATAAACGCTCTTCTGCTGCATGCAAAAAATCTTTTTGAAAATGAAACAAAAAAATTGCTAGTTTTATATGGAAAGTTCATTATAAAATCTTGTTGGCTTTTAAAGATGTCACGTGATTGAACTTGGAGCATACAAATGCTTTTTTTTCATACTTAACACAGACTGAATCTCCCTCTTTTTCATCACAATAGGTTAACATGTATATGGAGTTAATTGATATCTTAATGATGCCTTACCCTGACCCCAGCAATCTCTATCATAAACATGGCTGCTCCTAAAACATGGCCTGCTGTGTAACACCAGAATTTGATTCCGTTGACATCTACTTCCTGTAAAAATTTCAAAATCAATTTCATAATAATAAGTGGTACAAGTAATAAATTAATGAAAGCAAAAAAAGTCATAACACTTCATTTTTTTTTTTGTTTCAATAATAAGCTTTAAGTAATTAACTCATGACAAGAAATTTAATAAAAGTTAGCTATCTGTAGAAGTCATTAGGTACTACCTGGTGAAAATTAATTGTTTCTATTTTGTCCATGCTGTTTTCTATATCACTCTCTGTATAGAGCATGTCTTCAGTGGCAATATTACTAGAACAAAATAACATGAAAATGAACAAGAGGCCCATGGGCCACATCGCTCACCTGAGTAACTTTGGCCATGCTGTTCTTTACCAGATTTCCCCCCTTTTAATATACCTATTGTGGCCCCGCCCTACCCCAGGGGAACAAAATTTGAACAATTTAGAATCTACACTACCTCTGGATGCTTCCAAATATGTCTCAGCTTTATTGGTCCAGTGGTTCTTGAAAAGAAGATTTTTTAAGATTTTTCTTATATATTTCAATGTAAAACTTGGATTCCCTATTGTGTCCCGCCCTACCCCCGGGGGTCAAGATTTGAATAATTTAGAATCTACACTACCCCAGGATGCTTCCTTGTAAGTTTCAGCTTTTCTGGCCCAGTGGTTCTTGAGAAGAAGATTTTTAAAGATTTTTCTTCTGTATGTCAATGTAAAACTTGAATTCCCTATTATGTCCCCGCCCTACCCCCGGGGGTCATGATTTAAACAATTTAGAATCTACACTACCTCAGGATGCTTCCATATAAGTTTCAACTTTTCTGGCCCAGTGGTTCTTGAGAAGAAGATTTTTTAAGATTTTTCCTATATATTTCAATGTCAAACTTGGATTCCCTACTGTGGCCCCGCCCTACCCCCGGGGGTCATGATTTGAACAATTTAGATTCTACACTACCCCAGGATGCTTCCATATAAGTTTCAGTATTTCTGGCCCAGTGGTTCTGGAGAAGAAGATTTTTTAAGATTTTTCCTATATATTTCAATATCAAACTTGGATTCCCTATTGTGGCCCCGCCCTACCCCCGGGGGTCATGATTTGAACAATTTAGATTCTAAACTACCCCAGAATGCTTCCATATAAGTTTCAGTATTTCTGGCCCAGTGGTTCTTGAGAAGAAGATTTTTTAAGATTTTCCTATATATTTCAATGTCAAACTTGGATTCCCTATTGTGGCCCCGCCCTACCCCCGGGGGTCATGATTTGAACAATTTAGATTCTACACTACCTCAGGATGCTTCCATTTAAGTTTCAGCTTTTCTGGCCCAGTGGTTCTTGAGAAGAAGATTTTTTAAGATTTTTCCTATATATTTCAATGTCAAACTTGGATTCCCTATTGTGGCCCCGCCCTTCCCCCGGGGGTCATGATTTGAATAATTTAGAATCTACACTACCTCAGGATGCTTCCATATAAGTTTCAGCTTTTCTGGCCCAGTGGTTCTTGAGAAGAAGATTTTTTAAGATTTTTCTTATGTATTTCAATGTAAAACTTGGATTCCCTATTGTGGCCCCGCCCTACCCCCGGGGGTCATGATTTTAACAATTTAAAATCTACACTACCCCAGGATGTTTCCACATAAGTTTCAGCTTTTCTGGCCCAGTGGTTCTTAAGAAGAAGATTTTTTAATGACCCCACCCTATTTTTGTCTTTTCTTGATTATCTCCCCTTGTAAGGGGACTTGGCCCTTTATTTTAACAATTTACACTCCCCTTCACCAAAGGATACTTTGTACCAAGTTTGGTTAAAATTGGCCCAGTGGTTCTTGAGAAGAAGTTGAAAATGTGAAAAGTTTACAGACGGACGGACAGACGGACGGACGGACGGACGGACAGACGGACGGACGACGGACAACGGGTGATCAGAAAAGCTCACTTGAGCTTTCAGCTCAGGTGAGCTAAAAACTGACAGAGTTGTCTCCCATTTAATCTGCACAATAAGTCCAAATTTATAAATTATTTGATGTATCATCTACCTAACTTTCACATAATCTGATAACAACCATCTGTAGATAGCTTTGGAGGCATGTGTCATGAAACATCGACCTTTAAACTGTGTTTTCTCCAAAAAGTAAGGCAAGGCCCCACAATGGTCAAGGTGGAAGCTAAAAATTCAATGTACATGCATATTATACGAAGCATTACATGTTTTGGAATTTCATGCTGTCAGTCAAATGACAGTATTTAAAATGGTTGAAAACTTTTTGATTAAGCATATTGTGTATTGACTCAAATAAATTAAAGATGACAACTACAAAGTATACATGTTAAAGGTGCTTAGACACAGATTTGAAGTTAATATTTTCTCAAATTTTCTGTATAATATCACGACTTACATATTGCAATAGCATTTCACACGAAAATATAATTAAAAACTTATTTTATCTGGAAATTATTGGAACTACGAATTTCTGGACGCGTTTGATTAACACATCCTTGCACTTTCACAAATTTTATCTTTATCCTTAATATTTAAAAAAAGAAGCGATTTTGTTGTGTATTAATGAAAAACATTACATCTATAATCCAGAAAACTCAGCGTAGAAATGTGCGAAAGCAAACCCCCTCACTAATATCGTCAGTCCGTGCTCAGTGTTGTGTACAGAGTTTAACAAATTGAATACACCCGTGAAACGTAAACTGTTTTTGTAAACAGGGCACGAGCTCTGTTATTTTTAATGTTTACGATTCACCGAGTGTGTTCAATTGTTAAAGTCTGCACATTTAAACTTAAGTCATTCAGTGCGGATTTCATTCAGTATGGTTGACCTGATGACAATAAAGGACAACATTCTGCCTTTCGACTGGCAAAACTTTCTCATGGGTTTTTTAAATAAAAATCGAAGTTTTTAGAGTTTGAAGCGAGGCACTGAGGAATTAATGGCAGCTCGTTAGGTCCCTTCTCCCCCATTACTGTATTAGACTATATACCCGATTTTGCAAAGATTGTCTCAAGTCCCTATGCACAGTACTTACTGACTAATAAGGAGCAGATCAACTTCTTCAACTTCTACCAAATCCAAGAAGGGCAGAGAGGCGAAGCCATTCAGTCCTGGGTGTATACCACAGTCAAGCTATGAAAATCACGTTAGCAATTGAAAAATTAAAGATATGAAAACTTTTTCTTCTTCAATTTTAACTTCTATTAAATTACTGAAATCAGTTTCTATTTAATGGCAGATAGTTAAGAAACAACACATATCTGTGCAAAATGCGAAACAAACATTTCAACTGAAACTATGAAAACTTTTTCTTCTTCAAATCTAACTTCTATTAAATTACTGAAATCAGGTTACTACAGCTTCTATTTAATGGCAGATAGTTAAGAAACAACACATTTCTGTTTCTGTGCAAAATGCGAAACAAACATTTACTTCTGATGTTTGAATTCTAACATTACCATGATCTTTTTGCCTTTAAATTCAAGCAGGTGGCAAGATCTTCCAACCTCTTGTCCTGAACCCCTAATTAAATGAAAAAGGAAATCAATCAAACCATAGATGTATACACTTAAGTATATCATCCCTGATCAAACATATAAACCATATTGTAAACTGCTAATGTACATCACTGTTTACATGGTGTAGTCTTAGATCTCCATAAAAAGTTGAAAACACAGTCTAATCTAATCTCAGCAAGATTCGTAGAGACTAAAAATTTTGGACAAACATCTCTTCCGAAGAAGGGCTGAAACGATTCACCAAAATATCGATATTGTTCAATATTACTGCTCAGTTCAATGTTGGATTCACTATCTCGATCTTCGGTTCGGTACGTTTTTTCATAATTGGGTTTGGTTACTCCTTGAAATAGATCGGGTTCAACTAGGGCTGTCACGAGTACCCAAAATAACCGAGAACCGCGGTCCAAGTTGTTCAGTTCGGTTCCGGTTCCATTTTTCTGGATTTCGGTTCGGGTCTGGTTTATATATTAGAGTCTGTTCAATACAAAAAATGGCGTCGAAATCAAAAGAATGATGACGAAAACAGTGATAAATAAACATCACATCTGAAATCTACTTCATTCCATGACAAAACACTTGTCATGAAGTATTAGATAATTATCAAAACGAGCAGGAATGGTCAGGTTGTGGCTAATAGTAGGTCAAGTCACAGATGTCTAGACGTTCGCATGGTTAAGACTTGTTTTCAATGTAAATTTAATGTAACAAATAAAAATTTTTCAAGTTAAATTCATGAAATTGAGGTTTAAAATAGATGTAAATAACCGACCCCAAAAAACCCGAAACCGAACCGAAAATTTTTGAACCGTGACAGCCCTAGGTTCAACCACATTTTAATAGTTTGGCACACACGAGGGAGAAAATTGTGACGGAGAAAGTTTCAGAGCAGGCTGCCACTTCTTGTATTGACACGAACAAAGTGCTGTTTTAATCTACAGAAGCACAAGTAGTGCTCTTTATTGTATCAACACCTTTTGCCTTTTGAAATCTGAATACACGTTTTCTTTAACCTTATGATTTGTTTCTTTTTTAAAATGTATCGTATTGAAAAAATTGAATTGTGACACAGGTATCGCGATACGTACCGTATCGTAGAGGGGGCGTTTCAGCCCTATTCCGAAGAGACGTCTGTCCAAAATTTTTGGTCTCGACGAATCTCGCTGAGATCAACAGGTCCAGTACAATCAGTACATTTAGCTACGTAGCTAAAATTACCCACCATAGCTTTATTTACCTACCTCAGGTAGCTTTATTTAGCTATTTCAAGGCAACTTTTTACAATTTTGCTTTTTATTTTAAAAGGACAAAATGACTACTAATATTTATTCTAGGTATTGTTTAAAAAGCAACCTAAAGCAGGGATAGTTTTAACATTGCTGCGTTTGAACACTTTTAAGGAAAATATGTATTCCATTGTTTGAGTAACTGTACACCACCTTGTGTGCAATGAGGCGTGGATAAGTATGGTTACTTCACATTGTGCTCATGTTAACCAAAACTGGTTTTCTTTGTTATTTCACTCAAGAAGTAACTGTTAGGTCACAAATTAATTGTTGGCTATAGCCCCAAAACTTCCAGAACTTTGATTGCAATTGTGCAGAAAAAGACACATCTCCAAGGATGATTTTTTCATGAATTGTTTTCAGATGAGTACCAAGTTGAAAATTATCACTGCATCAAAATGCAATTTTCTGCACTTTCTGCGAAAACTGCTAATTTAAAAAATAAGTTTGATTTAGTAGCTAAGTAAAGCTACTTCAGGTAGGTAAATAAAGCTATGTAGGTAATTCAAGCTACGTAGCTAAATCTAGTGATTGTACCAGACCTGATCAAGTCTAATCATGTTAATAGTTATTACAAAAACAGAACTATAGACTATGATTCGGGATCGATGAGCCAAAAAGAAAAGTTTTTTATTTTTTATTTTTTTTGGTGGTGGTGGTGATAGGGTACCGAACAGTGCATTTACTCTCCGGCTACAGACAAATGTACATGTATGAGGAAATTCGAAATGGCAAAGAAATAATCATTGCACAAAACTATAGATTCAAACAAGATCATATACTGTAAATGGAACTTACAAAGGTCTTATCAATAGAATGTCGTTTTCGTCAGCAGGGACCACTGTTTCCCCTGTCTTAGACATTTTATTTTAGTTTTATGATCTTTCAATTTTGCCGTTCTTTCGGCAAGCATACAAATATGCGATTTATGGATATTTCTGCCAAAGCGAAAGTACCCTCTATTATTTTTGCACATAATAATAATATGAACGTTCAGATACTGATTCAATAAAATTAATAAATGCATAAATATTGAATTTATGTGGAACATTTAAGTCATCCAAGGCAATAATTGATACTATATTTATTTTCGGTTTTCACAAAAAAGAGAAATTTTTGGCTAACCAATATGTCTGCGCCCATAGTGTTTCGGTGCAAACGTTTTTAATAACCTTGTCAGCCTGTGTTCAAAGGATCAGTGCGTTAAACTTTATGAACAGAAATGATTCAGAAATCTGCAATGAAGTGTATGTGGCAAAACAGTTTTAAATCTTTAAAATGTTTCAGAAAGACACATGCGTGCAGAAATTATTCAAGCCTCAAAGCTGTCAAGATTAGTAGTCGACACTATTTGAATGTTATTAAACATTTCCCTAATAGACATGCATGTGGACATCTTACCTGTAGTGAGAGGTTTTACAGTAGTGACACTAAAGTGTTATATGAACAGGAATTGTTTGAAAAGTACTTGGAGGCACTTGAAAAATCTGTTAAGAATGTTGAGAATGGCTCTTCTTATGACAGACAAAATTCCAACGACAGAACAAATGCTTTGTTGGTACTCTATACTGAATATAGGAAAATTCTTAAAGAAATTCAGGAGCTTAGGTCTTTATCATCGGGTAAGACAACTTTTCTCGTCCTTGATGAACTTTTTTATAGGTACTTTGAGTGTCCTCACGAAACTATAACCCCAAGCTGTATTTTTTTCCAAAGTGCCCATTGGGTAGTACATTATTTCTCAAAGTGACCTTGGGTGAAATCAGGACACACCTTCTAGACATATGTAATTATGTGAAATTTGAACTTCCAATGATTATCAATGGAGAAGTTGTGTACATGTACTACTTTTTTCTGCCAGTGACCTTGAACTTGCAAGAATGGCAATGGCCAAGGTTTTGACATACCCTTATTTTTGGTTGAAGTATTAACATCCATTATTTATCCTTTTTTGAGATATAATGAACTGTACATAAAGGATGATTGCACTTTATATAACACTGGATTTTTGGTCTTTTTCGGTCGCTTCTGTTACTTTTATATCTTCACCTAATTTCAGTTTTGTTTATTTATTCTAGAATTTTGTCAGTTTGGAACCAAATTTAAATGTTCAAATGATTTCAGACTGTGATACAGTGTCACAACCCTTGTTACAACAGAGAGGGCAAATGTAAGAAGAATAAGTTTTTTTCTCTTTTAAACTATGAGCCCTTGTTTGTCTGTTAATCTCCTTTTGACACAACTTTATTTAGTAATGCAAATGGTCAACTACTGTTAAAAGGAGAATAATAAACAAACATGCGCTGACTGTGTATAAAGTCAGCAAAAAAAGTGGGCATCCTCATTATCTTATGGAGATTCAAGAAATCGTATTGACCCCTACTTTTATATATTGTAATTAAGAAAATGTTGCAGATTGGATGGTGTCATTTCCTGCAATTAAAAGAAAAATGCTCGTTTTGAAAGTTTATGTTGTCGAAAATTTCAAATATCCTTAAAGCAATATGAGCTGCAACTTTGATGTCAGAAATTTTTGTTGCAAAATTGTAATTAACTATTTCAATGACAGAAAAAAGAACGTTTTTAAACTTCTGTTGTTCATATTTGCGATGGAAGAACTATTTATAATCTTTGATTGAAGCAAAATTACATTATTGTCATCCTGTACAATATTGATTTCTAAAATAACCCTATTTATTTGATTGTACAGAATCCTTTATTCTGAAGCAATTTGATAATTTATTTCTGTCTAATTGATCAAAAAGGTTTAAAATATATACAAATTTATCATGTTTATCATAATAACACATTTTAATAGGAAAAGAAAATTCTCAAAAATGCAGCTCATATTGCTTTAAGTGCAATCATCCTTTTACTCTATCAACCAGCAACATTGAACTTGGTAAATTCTTTAATCATTTTAAGATCATGACACACCTTAGGGACATAGGTATTAATATTTGTGTGAAGTATAGTTCCAATGTTTCTCCACTACAAAGTTATGGACCTGACACAAAATTTTGCACTTTTTCTACCAGTGACTTTGAACTTGCCCAAATGACCTTGGGTCAAGATCATGGCATACCCTTAGATCATAAATATCTTCGTTAGAGAATAATAAACTAAACAAATTTTTACACGCTTTCTGCCAGTGACCTTGAATTTGTTGGAATTGCCTTTGATCAAGGTCAAGACCCGCCATCAGGTCATAAGCAATCTGTGCAAAGTATGAGATTCCAATGTTTCTCTATTTAACTAAAAGTGACTTTGAAATTGACCAAATGACCTTGGATCACTTATATCCTTTTTATAAGTGACCTTGGACTTGCGAGAATGACTTCGATTCAAGTCATGTCACATTCTCAGGATTTATTCTAGAATGAGCTTCCAACATTCCAAACATTACAGATAGGTGATTTCTATATACCCCCTAACTTTGTTTGCAGGGAATGGATAGGAGTATAATAATTTAATCATAGGAAAGGTGAAAACCTTGTACTCTTAATTATGCACCTGTAAAGATGGAGACAGCTAGGTTCTAAGCCCTCTTTTTAAGTCACCTCAATGAAGTCGAGATGAGCTTATGCTACACTACTGGCATTGGCGTTAACATCCCAGTTTTAAGTTTTAGGAGCTAGTCCATTCCCAAGTAACTGTAAGCAATACCTGGAGCAAACTTGCATGGATGATGCATCTGTGGATATACACTACCAGTCTTGCTTCGGATGCTGGATCTGACCTACATTTTCCAGATGAGTGACCTGGTAAAAGTTTTTAGAGCAGGTCCACTCCCATGTAACTATAAGCCCTACCTGGACCAACCTTGTACGGATGATGCGTGCATTTAGGAATGCACTCTACCAGACTTGCTTCCAATGCTGGATCTGACCTATATTTTTCCAGATGAATGACTAGGATAATGTTTTTGGATTAGCTCTGCAGCTACATGGCCTTTTCTGATAAATCTTGCATAGATGATGTATCTGTAGAGATGAACACTACCTGACTTGCTTTGGATACTGGATCTGAGTTACATTTTCCTCAAGAATGAACAAATTAAATTTTTTGAGTAGTCCATTCCTAAATAACTGTAAGTCCTAATTAAACCAAACTTTCATGGATATTGATCTTGGGATGCACACTAAAGAAATTGGTGTGAAATTTGCCTTACTTACAGATGACATTTGTCGAGGTGAGCTTGGTAATCTTTGATTATGTTCTTTGATTATTTTCATATGTTCAAACTCTTTAATCTCTTATGAAAAGTATGTAGGGGATTTCTATAAAGCATAGTTATTAAGATATCAAGCATAAAATCCAAAAAGCATATTTTGCTACAGAGTTAGAGATTAACGAGTTTTCTTGCTGGTGAGTCGATTGGAATTTTGAATTTCCACTGTGCATGTATTATTTTATTAATTCTAAATTTAATTTTAAGATTTTGAGATCTCTTTCATATATATATATATATATATATATATATATATATATATATATATATATATATATATATATATATATATATATATAGATATATAATTTGATTGTTGACATTTTCTAGGATTAAGTACTGAGGAGTCTGAGATGAGAACTTTGGCAGAACAAGAGGAAACAGAGTGTCAAAACAGAGCATCAGATTTAATAGAGCAGGTTTATCATTTTTTTTTAAATAACACACTTCCACAAAGTCAAGAGAGATTATGCAATACGATGTATATGCAAGGAATGGCAAATGCATCTGATCTACATTTTCTGTATAACTGAATTTCATTAAATGTTCAATCATTCTAGTGTAGACTTCTAGATACTGTTAACATACTTATCTAAGAGTTATTTGAATTTTGGTGTCTCTCGCACTGTTTCTTGTCTGCTAATTCATGTTTAGTTGTTTACAGTATCATATTATCATAAACTAATTCAATTCGTTTAAAAGTCACGAGTGATTGCGATGAACAGTTGAAGAAGTACGTAGAATGCAAGTTCATTCCCAAGTAAATAAAAATCCTACCCAGACCAAACTTGCATAATTGTTGTATTTAGGGAATTGGATGCACACTACCAGAACATTTGTTTGGTGTGAGACTTTGCCTCACTCAGAAATAACATTGGTTGAGGTGAGCTCTGTAATCTTTGTTTACCTATGTTTTTTTGTTGCAGATAGTTGAACTCCTTCTTCCACCAAGTCCCCATTACAATGATATCGTCATGGAGATACACTGTGCAGTGGGAGGCAAGGAATCTATGCTATTTGCTAATGAAGTTTATTTCATGTACAGAAATTTGGCTATCAACAATGTTTGGGATTTTACTGCAACAGATTTTACTACAGAAGAAAAAGGTATGAATAACATAAAAGCCCTGTATTCTAATGTTTCCAATAAAATTTTGTAAATGTACTCGTAATTTTTGGAATAAAAAATTCAAATATTAAAGTAATTTTTTAATAATATGGAGAATTTTAGACTAAACACTACATGTATCATCTTTGTTCAATTAACTCAGATTGTCTGCGAAGAGCAACTGTTCATCTATCAGGGGAGAATATCTATGAAGCAATGAAATACGAGGGGGGTGTCCATCGAGTACAAAGAGTTCCAAAGACAGAATCCAGTGGAAGAATCCACACCAGTACTATAGCAGTATCCATTATGCCTCAACCAGAAGAGGTAGTACATGTTCTTCAAAATCATTTTAACCTTTGGCACTTACAAAACTTTTCTCACACTTCATTTGAAACTTGTCTTTAGAGACTTTTGAAGTGCCACCCAAAGCTAACCATTGCATACCTGAAATATTTTTTTTACAAAAATCTACATTAAATTCTCAATAAATTGTCTTGTCACCAAAAATGGCAGTGTATAACTTAAAAATATGGATGGCCTAAACTTCAGGCCTTTGAGGGCTACATTTATTGAAAGCGGTCATTGAGAACAATTCTTGCAACTACACAGTACATTTCTACCCATCTTCATGCAGTAAGTCAATACAACTGTACATGTAGCACATAAAACTAAATAAATTTTTGATATGTAATAACAATACATGTACTTTAATATTAATTGAAAAGCATCGACTTTTAACAGGTGAACATCATCATTGATCCACAGGACATCAAAATGGAGACATTCAGAGCTGGTGGTGCTGGGGGTCAGCATGTCAACAAGACGGACAGTGCAGTCAGACTGACCCACAAACCAACAGGTAAATCCTGCTCAAGACAGACAGTACAGTCAGACTGACAAAAAACCAACATGTAAATCCTACTCCAGACAGACAGTACAGTCATACTGACACAAACCAACAGGTAAATCCTACTCCAGACAGACAGTGCAGTCATACTGACACACAAACCAACATGTAAATCCTACTCCAGACAGACAGTGCAGTCATAATGACACAAACCAACATGTAAATCATGCTATATACCCCAACAGCTCTTTATCTTTTGAACACTTCTTATTCTATTCAACAGTGGAAAGTATGAAGGATTATCAAAAGTATTGTCTGTTAACCAGATCTTAAAGAGATATAAAATTTCCTAAAACTCTGTCCAAGATTGGAAAAGCATGCAAGACTGTGAATTGCACATGGCTTAATTAAGACCATCCATTTTTTTATTGATTTCTTTTACTCTTAGTGCACTTGAATACATTCAAAATCTTGTTTGAGTTTGCTGAAGAAGCTGCAATTATTGAAACATCTATATGATCAAACACAGCAAGATACACTTATAAATCAAAATGAAAAATCTGTGAAATTTCTGATACTACTCATGACTTGGTAGAATATTAACTAGAATAGAACTATTAACTAGAATATTTACTATTAATTTAATTTCTATTTTCCAGGAATAAAAGCTGAGAGCCAATCTGAAAGGTCACAGCATAAGAATAAAGTCATCTGTATGAAATTATTACAAGAAAGGTAATATATACAATATCTCTTAGTTTTAGCAATACTGTTTACATCTACAGTTGTTCTTCAGTATCTCGAACACTGATATCTCAAATACCATGGACATGTCGAAGTGACTTATATGGATTGATTGTATGTTGTTTAATGTCCCATTCGAGAATTTTTCACTCATATAGAGACGTCACCATATACCGGTGAAGGGCTTCAAATTTTGACCTTTACTCGGCGCTCAGGGCCATTGAGCAGTGAGGGATCTTTATCGTGCCAACGCCTGCTGTGACAAGGGGCCTCGGTTTTTAAGGTCTCATCTGAAGGACCTGCAACTTTCACTTCAAAGTGCCGAGCGCATGGCAAAGGAACAATTCTACCTATTTTTTTTATGGTCGCGCCAGAGATTTGAACTCACGACCTCCCGATCACGGAGCGAGGGCTCTACCAACTGAGCTACCGTGAATGGTTGAAGTGATTTAGAAGTCCCAACCACTTACTCTTTAGGTATTTTACCCCTGATATCTCAAATCCTCGAGTTTTTCCTCGGTCCCATCGAGTTCGAGATAACGAGGTTTGACTGTATTCACCAACAGTTCTAGCTGTTCAGTATACATGTTCATTGTACAACTTTGAAGATCACGTCATAAATATTTCTTTTTTTCTGCAGACTTTACCAAGTGGAATTTGACAAACAATTGATGGAAAGTCAAAGGTCTCGCAAAATTCAAGTAGGAACCTCATCAAGATCAGAGAAAATTCGGACTTACAATATTCCTCAAGACAGAGTAACTGATCACAGAATTCATTACAGTACCAATCAAATCAGAGAATTTATGAATGGTGGTGAACCCCTACAAAACATGATGAGAGAGATTCAAATTCGATCTCAATACGAAATTTTGAATGAAATACTACAGACATTCCAAAAAGATGGAAAAATAAGTCATATACAAAACTGACTTTTGTAGAATATCATTTATTCAGAAAATAAATAATTTTGAATATTTAAAAATTCTTTTCCCGAAAAGTTTTTCGATTACAATCCAAAGACAGCTGTTTTCTTCTTGTTATATTGTCAAATGCTATGTAAAATAAACAGTAGCTTGAATAATACCAAACATATACATGTACATATACTTCATAATTTCAAGTAAGAAATGGGTTTTAATGATAATATCTGCTTCCAGGATGAAAAAGTTATAACAAAAATGTCAGATTTAAAATCTCAGAAAAAATTAAAACAACCACGTCAACTTTGTGAATAAAATGCTATCCTCGATTACAAGTCAAAATACCACATGATCCATGATATCAACTCCTCTCAGCCTTTTATTAGTGGTACAAGACAGAACATGGCAATGATGGTAAACATGGAAAATTTGTTGACAGTATTTTCACAAATACTATTTTTACTTTATACATGTACATATATATTAAAATGAATATTAAAAATAATGAAGTGTTAATTAATTTTGTTCCACCACAACAGTTCACATGTATCAGTACAATGTTTAGGAAATCATTAAAACATGTATTTTAGGGACCAATTTTTCATATAAATGTATATTTAGAATTGTAGTTTTGCACTAAAAGTGTGTAAAGAAAAAGCTGCTGTTTTCTTTGAGGCACCAATAAATTATTGGAGGAATTTGATCAGAGATGTTACATAGGAGAGAAAAACAATTACTTAATTTAAATAAGGCTTTGCACATAAACATGCCAGTCAAATCATGTGTGTGAATCAGATATACATGTAGAACTTCATTCTTGTGGTTGGCATTTGGTAAGACTTATCAAGCCAAGTGTTTTAAGGATTGTGATGAATACTTATTGCAAAAGTATCCCCTTACACAGCGTTCTGATGAAAAATTCATGCACAAATAAAACTACGTGTGTGAATTGTGTGTAGAATCTACTGGACCAATATGTGTTGATCTATCATGCACATTTCAATTATTCACAGGTTCTAAATCTTCTGTAAGAAAATTCTGGAAAAACTGATTCACTTTATCAGTGTTGAACTTGAAGATTAGGATGCAGTGGTTTGAGTTTCATATTCCGTGACAGCCCGAGTCTTAAGCCTGATGTTGGAGAACATATAGAGGATGCATCACTTTTCTTGTTTCCTGCAGGACCTAGGAGAAGAATACAGAAGGATTATTTAAATTGATTAATTACTTCATCCTAGTGCATGTAAACACAAAAAGAAATAATTGTTTCCAAAAATTGTAACCCATTAGCTTTGTAACTTTGGTTTCATCTCCTTCAAAGCTTATGCACCAGTCTTTGGTATGTTATAGATAAAAACGAATACAGATGAAAATTTCTGATTGTAAAGGGTATTGGTAAGATTTAAATTTCATCCCTCTTCCATTCTTCCATGCACAATTATTTGTATGTGAGGGTGTATGTGTTTGCTTTTACTTTGTAAAAAACATGTTTGTTTCTACACTAAAAAAAAAAATTAAAATGAATAAAGTTATGACAGCTATACCTGGAGGGTTCCATCTTGGTGAGGGACTGGTCAGGGGTGGTCTATTTACAGGGCTAGGCCTGGTAACTGAAGGTTTAGCTGTACTAGACGTCTTCAGAGTGGGCGTCTTCACGGTCGATTTCGGCACTAATATTCAGAAAGTGTTTAAATTAAATAATTTATAGAGATTCAATAAAAATTGATTGAGTACACTTTATTTTAGCAATAGGTAAGAAAGGAAATGCAAAGATTTTAAATATAAAGTTTCATTTTCTGGCATCCATGTGTCCATTTCTCACACCTTATATCTTGAGAACTGTGCCAGATAGGGGCTTTATATTTTAATGCTCATACATGTATAGTGCAAAAAAAAAAACAACAACAACAAACCAGAAGTCTGATGAGACTGTAGCTCTACTGGTCTGTACGTACAACAAAGGAAAAGTAGCACTTGGATTTGAAACTTTGCAACTTGCAACAATAAATAGAATTATGAACCTTAAGGTAGTATGGGATACCTCCACGTTATGACGTATTTCCGTTTGAAGTATTGTTTTGATTTGCATGAGTGCTTATTATCGGGTCAAAATTTGTAGATACACCGTTGAAAAGAACAATCTGAAGCCTATTTCAATGCAAGTTCTCACAAGTCGGCATTTTAAGTAAAAACAGACAAAAAAATCGCAAGTATATAAATTTACTTATAATTGTACAACGGACATTTAAAAAAGCAAACCCCTGTAAAAGGTAGTTTCAACATTGCTGCTTTTGAACACTTTTAAGCAAAAGCTGTATTTCAATTGTTTGAGTAGCTGTACAGCACCTTGTGTGCGGTGAGGCATGGATAAGTGCGATAACTTCACATTGTGCTAAATTATCACCAATCAATTATCACGTTAACCAGAGCTGGACTTTTTTGTTATTTAATTCAAGAAGTAACTGTTTGGTCACAAATCAGCTAGCTATTGTATATAGTCCCAAAACGTTCAGATGAATGCAATTGCTCTGAACAAGACACCTCCTGGAAAGCGATTGTCCATGCATTGTTTTCAAAACCGCTCAAAGTTGAAAACTACAAAGTGCGATTTTTTTATGGTTGGGAAAAAATGCTCATCATTTCTAGAATAGCACCCAGGTTTTTTCAACCCTTGGAAAATAAAGAAGGATAACTCTTCCGCTCGGATCTTTTAATTCAAAAAATTTTAAATGCATTTTATATTTTCCATTTATATATATATTTTCAATTTCTTTATTTCACTTTGCTAACATATTAAGATACATTCTTATTGTAGACTTTCATGAAATGTTATCCGTCTGTTTTCAAGAAATAAAGTTTTCCCAGTTTTTTACGCTTATTTTTTGTTGAAAATTAAAAAAATACTAAGACATATTTCTTGTCATTTTTGTTTTTATAAACATTTTATATTAGCAAACGCCTGCCTATAATATTAAGCTTATGAAAAAAGAATTATGCAAGAAAAAAAATCGTTTTTGTATTTCTCATTAAAATAATAAAAAAATTATTAAAATTACACTTTAATATACTGAAAGGTGGGGGTATTTCAAATCCTTCTAATTTGGGTACATAAATATGTAGGAGAAGTTTCGTTTGGTATCCCATACCACCTTAATGTAATCTACTTCTGTGCCAAGTTATATTGAAATAAAACGAAAACTGTTGGAGGAGTAGTGTTTTGAAGGAATTTCACAGAAATTTCAATTTTTAGTAACCATGGCAACACCGTTCATCGAAATCAAAAATCGATGCACTAAATTATGTATCTTAGTGTAGTCTACTCGTGTGCCAAGTTATATTGAAATCAGACCAAAACTGTAGGAGGAGTAGCATTTTGAAAAATTGTTTACAGACAGACGGACAGAAGATGGACACCTTACTATCGCATAAGCTCTTCTGGTCTCTGACCAGTAAAGCTAAAAAAAAAACAAGTATAAAAAGTTGTGTGTTTTTACCACTTGGCTTAGTAGCCTTTCCTGGTGCTACTTTCACTTTTGAAACTGGTGCTGCTTTCACTTTTGCAGGTGCTGCTGACTTTTTTGGTTGTTTTGTCTTTGCTTTAGACTTTGATTTCTTTTTACAGTCATCAAAATCACTATCTTCTCCAATATAATCATCATCATCATCATCATCATCTTCACTGGAAACATCATCCATATCATCTTCAAAATCACTCTCTGGAAGAAATATTCATATCGACTACAAATAATATTTTTCCTTTATAATTATTTCAATAGAACTCAGGAATATATATGCACTTCATTGTACATTTATATATAACATATAATTTTGCACATTCTTTCTCATTCACACTATTTAATCCCTTATAAGATATTTGAGTACAAATATGTTACATCTCTGGTGAATAAAAAAGATTTGTACGTACTAAGTTCCCCACAAGAGTGGAAACTTCAAACAGTGACTTGTGCTGTTTGACCTCTTGATTTAAGAATGACCTCGGTGTTATAAAATAAGCTACATTTTCAACTATGAGGGGCATTTTAAAAGTTCTGGCAACTGGTGTGCGGTAAATTAATGAGCGTCATTATCATAAATTAAATTATATCAATCCCTCAAAATAGTCTCCGTTGACCTGGACACACTTTTTCAGTCTTGAAATCCACGTGGAAAATGCTGCCCTATAGTCCTCTTTCGGTATACGCTTCATACACTGGAATACGGCACTTCCAACTGCATGACGACTTTCAAATCGCCATCCTCGGAGGGCTTTTTTGATAACGGCATTCAGCCAAAAATCGCATGGAGCTAGGTCAGGACTGTAGGGTGGATGTGGTAAAACAGCAATACCATTTTCCTTTAAATATTTGGTTACTACCCCTGATCTATGGGCAGGTGCGTTGTCATGGAGGAGCTTTATTCCTCTAGTACTGATTGATGGTTGGGTCGTTTTATAGTGCTCTACAACCTGAGACAAGAAATTCTCCGCCATAAAATTGACCAGTAACACTGCTGTGTTCTGGAACCAGAACTTGAGCAACAGGGCCTTTAGAATAAAAAAATAAGGCATATATTACTCTCCGGACAGACCGGTTTCTGCATGCAATTTGAGGCCTTGTATCATTTTCACCGATCCAAACTTTATTATTGAGATTAGTTTCCAGTTCAAAAAAATATATCCATGTTTCATCACCAGTTACAATCTCATTTATTCGCCTTTGGTCACAATCTTCATAAATTGTTAGTAATTGTGAAGCCATTTCTACCCGGATGCGCTTTTGCTCTTCCGAGAGAAGATGCGGCACCCATCTAGCACAGACTTTCCTAAGCTTTTAAGTTTTCCTTTAAAATACGAAAAACTGCTGACAAATTAATGCTAGTTAAGTCTGCTATTTCCTCAACTGTATATCTAGCATCATCAGCTATCGTATTTTGAACAGCGACAATTTCTTTTTCGCCATATGCACAAACTGGACGCCCCGAACGGGGGTCATCTTCAATTGATTTTCTACCCTCTTTAAATTGAACTACCCTTCTTGCTATTGCTCGATATGAATTGTTCTCCTTATCAGTCATTTTTACGCCCAGTATACAGAGTATACCTAATTATGACGTCATTTTAGCAGACCTATACATCACTTTGAATGTAAAATGACGTCACTACTAATGCATATTTGCCTAAGCATTACAGTGGTATCAGAGTCATTTTAATCCGTAACGTAGGTAAAATTTTATATACCAGTTGCCAGAACTTTTGAAATGCCCGTCGTATAATGATGTTTCCATTGAAAAACAAAACAGATCCCTATTGTGAACCCCCCCCCCCCCCAAAAAAAATCAAATTCAATACATGCAGATAAAAAAAAATTAACTTCTATATCAGATATCAAATGTTTCCTACATATATGTCATGTGCAGCCTTTCCCTACCTTCCTGCTGTTTTGATTTTTTAGGAGCTGGCGCTCTCCTGGGTTTAATGTTTTCTGTAATATCTGTGGCTATTACCTCTATCTCATCATCACTTGTTTTGGCTACAACTATTGGAGAGAAAAAAAACAATAAAATAAAAATTTGAAACACATAATTTGAAAAGAAGACAATTATATGATAAACACACTGCCTTGACACTGTCAAACTCAATACAATCTTGATCTGACATGGAGGGCACAAATGAAACTTCACTTCATAAATATTCAATGTCCATGGTCAAGAACTGTGTGAATATAGTATAGTGATTATGCCTCTTACATGATACTTATAACTTTTAAGTTTAGGAGGAATGACATACAGGTAGTAAATTGCTATCATATTTCAAAGAACAATCAAGATGATATACGCAAATTTCGTCTGAAAATTTTATGTGAGCTCAAGATGACTATAAACAGAATTCCTTCAGCTGAATTTCACATGAAAAGATTTAAATGAAATCAACTTGAACTTATCATATGAAGTTCATTGGAATTTCATGTGAAATGTCATATTAAAAAGGCATATTGGGTATTGTATGGGTACATGTATGTCTTTACATCTGACCTGGTTTATGTGGTTTGCTATCTCCCTTCACTTCATTCTCCACACTGACAAGATTAGAGGAATCTTCTTCCTTTCCATGCTTTACAGATTCCATCTCTGTCTGAGCTTTATTTTCTTTGTTACTGTCCACCAGGGGGCTCTCTTCTTTCACTTCCTGTGATTCACTCATGGACATTTCTAGTGCCATTTGAAGTTCATTTTCAAAAAGTTCATCATCTGGTTTTGGCCTGATAAAAAAAATAAGAACACTTAAGATTGTCAACTTTTTTTTTACTTATTAATTTGCCCCCCCCCCCCCCAAATGTATTAATAGATAATCTTAATTGAGTTTCTCTGTTTTCATGGCTCATTTTATGTGTTGTTTGTATAAAAGGCCAAATTGTTCAACATTTTCTTATACTGTATAAAATCTTCTGATCATACTTATGATACCTCAATCATTTCAATCTTATTTTTTTTTAATTAAAACTTTATATACTGTTATACAACAGTGGAAAATGTATATACAGTTGAACTTCAATATCTTGGTCACTAATATCTCAAATACAATGGATATGTCAAAGCAAGTTGGGAGTCTCTACCACATTCTTTTTCTTTACATTTTTTAGCCTTCATAACTCAAACCTTTGACCTCTCAAAAATTTTATTGGTCCAATTTAGTGCCAGATAATAAAATTTAACTGTAGTGTACATGTATTATAACTGCAAGTATACTTTAGGAAACAGATTTAAGAATGTTAGTTGTTACAACTTTCTTTTCAAATCCTGTTTTTTTTTTTACAATGTCTGTATTGCATATTATTATGAAATAAAGATTAAATATGTTAACAAAATGTTAAAAGAGCCACAGGTCAACCAAATTTAGAATAAATCTATATACAGTTCTTGGTGAATTCTTTTAAATATCAGAACATCCTCAAAGTTTATACAAAGAAACATGCAAATAAAATAAATAAAAATAACAGACATGAGGAAATAAAAATCTATACTTGATAGGGAACTAAACAGAGCAACATTCTAAAAATCAAGGATATTAAAAAAAAAATAATAATTTAATAATGTACAAACCGATTCAAGGATTTTCTCTCTGTTCTACTGTTCTTGTTTTTCTCATTTTTACTTGAACTTTTGTCTTTGGGTTTTCCCTCGGATTTTGAAGAGGATGTCTTGATCTTTTTTGATGCAGGGGGAGTAAATTCAGCAAAATCATCTGAATAATAAATACATGTTGAAGTATTTTTATCAAAATATTGTTTTATAGATGGAGGTGCATTAAATCACAATAATATATCACATTGTCAAAATTTTCTTTTCAAATACCAATACCGGAAGTTAACTACTAACACTATTGTACGTAGTTAAAATTCATCAAGAAACCAGCATACTGTTAAAATATTATAAAACACCAATGCTGTTACATGAGCTCAGTCTTCTAGGAAACTGCCACATAAACAGACAACTAAATATTATATTCACCAAAGGAATTTTATAAACCTCATACATTGATGAAAACAGATTTTAATGTAAACTGTTCACAACAAAATTATAACACGGTCCACAAAGCTCACCGAGGGCCAGATCACACTGGTTCTACAGATAAAGATTTTAAAAAGATGTTTCCCCTATTTATTCACATGAAATTTTTTATCCAAATTGTGGCCCTACCCTTTGTCCCTATCCTTACAACATCATGTCATAACTTAAATCCACATAACACTGAGAGGAAACAATATCAATAGACTAATAATACCTTCCCTATATATTCCAGTGTAAAGATATGATCCCCTATTGTAGCCCCACCCTATCCTCAGGGGCCACAATTTCAACAAATTTAAACTTACACTACCTTTGGACACTTACATATATTGTAAAATAACTATTTGTAATATTACAATATGACTTTCACTATAGTTACTTAAATATTATCTATAAGAAATACTTCTTCAAAGACAAAAATACATAATGCATAATGCCATTTACTATAACATTATCAGGGAAGTCTTTTATACAAGTTGAATGAACAACTGGTTTTCCTTTATGATATCTGTAAAATACAGTCTTCAAATTCTTACCATCATCTTCATCCAGCATTCCAAAGTGAGAGTAATCAACCCTCTTTTTGCCCCTAAAACACAGAGCATAGCATTTAAATATCAGGTCTAGAACAATTTACACTTAGCTACATAGCTTGAATTATGTATATAGCTTTATTTAGCTACTCAAAGTAGCTTAATTTAGCTACTAAATCATACTTATTTCTTAAAAGGGCATTTTTTCATAATGTGCAAAAAATTGCACTTTGATGCAGTGATAGTTTTCAACTTTGAACTGATCTGAAGACAATTCATGAAAAAAAAAAAAACTTTTTAAGACGTGTCTCCTTCAGTGCAATATTGCAATCAAAGTTCTAAAAGTTTTGGGGCTTAATTTATACAACATTTAATTTGTGACCAAAGTTACTTCTTGAATGAAATAACAATGAAGACCAGTTCTGGTTAAAAAGTTATTTGACTGGTTATAAATGAGCACAGTGTGAAGTAATCATACTTATCCATGCCTCACCGTACACAAGATGGTGACTGTACAGATACTCAAACAATGGAAATACATCTTTTACTTTAAAGTCATAAAAAGCTGCAATGCTTAAACTATCTTTGCTCTTGGTTGCTTTTTTAAAACTCCTAGTATAAATATTAGTGGTCATATACTTGCAATTTTTTTTTTCTATTTTAAATAAATGCAAAACTGTGAAAACTTCAATTAAAATAGCTATAAAGCTACAGTAGTATCAACTGATTGTACTGGATCTGAGTATGACAACAGTTTAATCAAGGATCCATTATGTTGGTGACTAGCATTAGGCATGCACAGGTTGGGCACAATTCCCTTCTTCTGTAACTGTTACACTAAAAGGGAATTGTTCCTCTTTTCAGTAATAAAAAACATTACTGTACACTTTAAGGGAAGAACTACGCACGCTAACTCTCGATTCCCGCCTACATTTTACAGTGTTCCAGCTAGGGTGAAATGGAGGGGCGCCGCGCCCCGCCCTCAAATCAGTGCGCCCCTCTGCCTTCCACAGGCGCCCCTGTGTCCCTTGTTAGTTCCCCGTATCATTCTGACTGTCCTTTTCCCTCATTAAAATAATTAATGTGTTCCAAAGCAAATTACCTAAGGACAATCAGCAATTCACACCTCCTGCCATGGACGATTACGCAATGAAACTCGCATTAGGGTACCTATGTACTATACAGGTGCTTACTTTCAATTACAGGTGATTAGGTAATTACTTTGATCACTTGACAGTCTGAATAGGGGTTAAAAGCTGAAATAGTTTGAGAATGTCCAAGCTATCTGTTTTAATTAATATAAAACAAGGGTCTTGTATTATAGGTTCTAAAAATAAATCACGAAGTGAAAGTAGCATTAACATTGACCTTCACCCTTCACTTCTATTGAAATCGTTAACGTTTTTCTGAAAAAAAAAGAAGGAATTTAAAATTTAAATAGTACAGAAACAAGTATAAATATTCAATTAACAGAAACAATTATTTTCTCCTTCATTATAATTTTTGACACTCTGGAAGGTATTTTATACATTTACAGATATGTAACTGTATTCCATTTCGTTGCAGAAGTTTAAAATCTTAATTTAATTAATCATCTGCCACCAACATGACCAATATGATAAAACAAGCAAAAATGATATTAGCTTTAAATTGTAAGTTTAATACTAATATGTTACTGATGACCTACAAATACTGTATCTATTTTATACATTTGCCAAAAACAGACTCAATCAGCACATGAACATCAACAGGTACTGCACTGAATAATGAGAGACACTAGCTAGTTTATAATAAGAATTATAGTGCTATTATTGAAAATAGGAAATAAGAAGAGAAAATGATTAAAAAAGAGAAAGAAAGTAATATTTATTCTCAGAGGATTTTTAAAATTCTTTTCTATATATCTTAAAATCAATAAGGTTAAATAAATTAATATTTGAGGGAATTCATTAATATTAAAAGATACGCCTATGTAACAAAGCTCGTGACAAATGGTAGGTTGCGAAAAAGTGCCCTTCTCTTGCACCCCTCCATTTTCAGATCCTAGCTGGAACACTGTTTTACACCCATTTAATTCAATACTAATGGCAATTTGGCCGTAAAATCTTTGTTGAGTGCAAAGAACAGTTCAATTGTAATTGACTGATAATTTTAATTCCAGTGTTAAATAGTTAATTACCCCTAATTCCAGCTCTTTAAATAAGGGGGGTAGACGATATTTTTCATTGAAATCGGGCTTTAAAGCATCTCCACATTTTAAAATATTCTTGGATATGACTAAATGTTCCTTAAATCTTTTCTTATGTTTTACTCATATAAAATTAAACATATATTATTAATAAAATACAATGCTTTAGCTGTAAACCCATTTGAAATTGGTGAAAAAATAAACATTTTTGTAGTTTTTTGTCTGTAAACATATGTACATATGTTCCCCCCCCCGTGAAACACAAAAAGCTTTGGTATGAATTTGTGAAATGACAGTCCATATTACCCGTAAAAAGGAATTTTTGCTTCACGGGGGGGGGGGGGGGGGGGGGGAAGATGTTTTAAAAATATTTTCCGTTTTCCGTTGATTTCTATAGTGAAAAGCACAAGCTTTACCAAAATTATAGAATTATCTCTCTTTGTTTTCCCAAAGAAGTAATGTTCTATGAAAATTCATATAAATATCTATATAGATATGAAAAATCATTCAAATGTGTTAACTTTTGAAAATTGACTTGAGGGTAGGCGGGAGAACAATGCTATCGTTCGCACTTCTTTTCATCATATTTTCATAGTAAATGCTAGAAATCTGCTTATTTAATAAAAGAGCATGAAAAATACAATGTAATGTGTTTAAACTTTATTAAACCAACCTCGCTGACAAAAATTTCAGTCCTTTAGTGCTGCAGACAAAATTATGATTAGATTTTTCGTCATAAAGGGATAGGGCTACAATAGGGGATCAAATCTTTACATTGGAACATATAGGGAAGGCATTATTAGTCATATTGATATTATTTCCTCTCAGTGTTAAGTGGATTTAAGTTATGACATGATGTAGGATAGGGACAAAGGGTGGGGCCACAATTTGGATAAAAAATTTCATGTGAATAAAGAGGGGAAACATCTTTTTAAATTCCTTATCTGTAGAACCATTGTGATCTGGCCCTCAGGTGAGCATTGTTGACCATGGCAAACATTAAATCTGTTTTCATCAATTTATGAGGTTATTAACATTCCTTTGGTCAGTATAATAGTAAGTTGTCCGTTGTTTTTGTGACAGTTTCGTAGAAGACTCTGAGCTCATTATCAGCATTGGGGCTTTATTTTACTGTAACAGTATGTTGGTGTCCTAGTGCATGTAAATAACTATGTACAATGTACTTAGTGTTAGTCGTTAACTTCCAGTATTTGAAATAATGACAATGTGATATATTATTGTGATTTAATGTACCCCCATGTATATATCAATAATTTTGATAAAACGATATTTTACTCAAAGCAAACACGAGAATAGAGGGAAAAAAAATAAAAAATTCCCCTATATAGTAATGTTTTTATTACTGAAAAGAGGAACAATTCCCTTTTAGCGTAACAGAGGAACTGTGCCCAACCTGATGCAAGCAGCACACGACATCAGATCCAAAAATACTCAACCGAGCATGGTTTCGATAAAGTGAATAAATACATACCGTCTAGACATAATGGAAATTTCTACACTTCAAATATGATTAGCTTTTCATGGATACATTAACTAATATCATTAACAAAGTTACTATCTTCATTTTATGCAATCAATTTTCCCTCCTAACATTAAACGGAAGTAAACAATATTCTCATAAAGAGGAGGGATAAAACCGTGAACAGCATATGGCTTTCCGGAAAAAACTGCGCTTTATTCTCGCAAGCCAAGGATTTTCGGTCCGCTTCGCTCTTCACAAACTCTTAAGCGGACCGAAAACCCTTGGCTTGCGAAGATGTATAGTTTTTACTGCTCAAAGTATACGATCGTAAGGTGTCCGTTTGTGTGTGTTTGAGGGTGGTTGTGGGTGATTGTAAGGGGGGGGGGGGGGGGGGGGCAGTGGCATATTCCTAGGCTAATGTGAAGTCGAAGACTTCAACAGGCGCGAAGTGTCAGTATAAGAAGGTTCACTGCTCATGAGTACCCACGAAAAAAAATACGGAAATAAACCAGAATGGTGCAATTTTATGTAATGAAAATGAAAATTTTTTTTATTTTGGTTTGCTATTTTTATTACGTTTTTACACATGTGTATTCTGGTCTAAATAATTGCGCTATAGAATAGAAATTTTCTGTGAAGTTGAAAGACATCCATGCATGTCATTTGACCAAAGAAATTTTGTATATCATTGTTGAATAAGTAAAATGCAATTTGCTAAGAACATTTTTTCCCATTTAATATCAAACAAAATAATTGTCTCGTGTTCTGGTCATTTTCCCCTTTTTCAACCATACTGCAGTATAAATATTAAATACAGTCCCTGAAACGTTCTACTTTCCCATTTTTCCGTTCGCTCACCGTTCGTTCACCGTTCGTTCAGCGTGCGTTCACCGTTCGTTCACCGTGCGTTCACCGTTCGCTCTCCGCTCACAGTTTTGCGTTCTGCGTTCACCGTGTGCTCGCGTTCACCGTTCACAAAGCGTTCACCGTTCGCTCTCCGTTCGTTCACTTTGCTTTCACCTTGCGTTCAGCGTTCACTTATCGTTCAGTCTTCAATGTCTTTCGGAACTCCCAAGTGAAATTAAGGACTTATATTTTTTTGTAAGTAAGGATTTACAGAATTTGTAAAGGTTTTGAATTTATTAATTACCATATCGTGTTTAAAGGATCATTATTTCATGGAAAAAAATTATCTACAATATGTTTTATTATTATTCTAACTTAGCTGTTAGGCTATTTATTAAATTAATCAGGAAAATAAATGTTGTTTTAAGTAAGTACCTATGTAGAACGATGCTGATATATTAAATTTACCTGTAAATACAGGCAATATACGGGTACTTCAAGCACTGCAATATTTTGTTGTTACATGTATGTTAAAGACGACAAATCTTTAATGGAGAGATAATAATCCATGTCAAGTAATTAACCAATTGCAGCAAAATTACGAAAGTATTTATAACTAACACGTTTTATTTTTAATTACTATAGAAATACATTATTAGAACTAGTTCTGAGAATTATAAATAGTACTGCAGATATCCAGTTAATTAAATATCTTTGGAGCAAATTAAACTGATAGTGTGGTTAAAAAATATTTATTCAAATGTAATTCACTACAATTCATAAATAAAGTATGTTAGACAGAAAAAAATCCTTTCACAATAACTTTATATTCATTCGATATGCTTAAGAAACCCCCTCCCCTTTTTTTCCCACCTAAGTCGGTTACTTAGTCAGCATTTCCAGTATATTTTAATTAATATTTAAAAAGAAGTTAATGCGTTTTGTAGCACAAAAATTTCAGTCTCAAAACAAACATGCATCTAAAAAAGTCATTAAACAATAGTAGTTCAAAATATACATGTGCCAACGGTGGTATTTTAAATTGGCCAGGGAGTATGTTTCAAATTCATTCCAAGTGTTTAAACCCAATGTATTTTATTTATTTATTTGAAAAGCTGGAATCAGATCTAGAAATGATAAAAAATGTTAAAACTTCTTGGAAATACCACTGTGTAGCACTTCGCCTTTGGTGTGACGAGACTTTCACACCTGCACAGTGTCGAATGATTTTGAATGACAGGACAAGCATGTGGCAGTGATTCATTTTGAAAATGGATATCATGAGTCCAAAGGACCCCTTTTACTAACAAGAATGAGTCCCATGCCAAAATCAATGCATCCAGATCCAAGGGTACTCAATGGTACTGTATATTAGATACTGCAGAGGAAATTCTGGTGAAATAGAAAAGGGTTTTGTTCGAAAGTGCAGTTGTTTTATTGAAGCTGTGAGTGGTTTATCTGTTTATTCTATAATTACTATCAATTTGGAAGTAAGAATAAATGATTTTGTGGCATGTAAATAATATATTGTCAACTGTGCACCTTGGTTCTATTTTTAAATCGTACTTACGATTTCACACATAATTTGTATTTTGATATATACAATTCTGTCATAAAATGCACAGAAGCAGACCAGTTGTTCTATTAAATGAAGTAAAGAAAGTTTTCTTAAAAAAAAAAAAAAGAAAAATAGCCTGAAATAAGAATGATAAAATACTTATTAGCTTCTACAGAAGAAATTGAAATGATTCAGGTTACAGCTAAAATACAAATGTATAGTATACGCTTCAGAAACGCTTCAGCAGACAAAATTGAACTTTCTATTTCTGATAATTGTTTCATTGTTAAATGCAATTTAACAGTGAAGTGTGAAATCTGACTTGTTGTTGACAACCTTATACCTGTTAAAATCGCTCATGCATATCGCTTAGCACGTGGATATGATGCAATCGGCCAAGTTTTGAAGCAGATTATACCGAAATAATTTAAAATTATACCTTTCATTTTATAAATTAAATGCGTCCATTGGGATGCACATTTATTGAAATAATGCGTCCTGAGCAAAATTTATGCGTAATTTATGCAGGACGCACACCAAAATGAATCACTGATGTGGACTTCGTGTGAACTTGAAGCAGGAAAATAAAAACCGATTATGATGGTGAAACAAAATGAATTTGTTAATTAAAAAGGTTACTTTCACTGCCTTTTTTTATTTAAATAAAAATTAAGAATTTTTGTTTATACAGGTATATGTACATATACATGCATTTGTGGAAAGGGGGGGGGGGGGCTTAAACGGAATCTCTCTCGCTCTCGCTCTCTCTTTCTCATTTGTTCGTTAAATCAAAACTATGACACGTATAACTTAAATATCAAGTTCTGAAATTTTAATCTATAACAAATAATATGAATGCTTTTTTTTTTGTATCATCTTGTCCGAGTATAATCACGGGGAATTGTCTACAGATACGTGTAGAAGTCTGCTTAATAAATCATCATAAAAAATGAAAAGACACATAAATAAATTATTGCATTAATATTTTAAAATACGAGTGTATACATGCAATACGTCCACAGACCGTGGCAAAATATATTAAATTTTTTTCTCATTATTTTACACGGAATGGCCTTGACACGGAAATACATGTATGGTTGATACAACCGTTGTAATTCATTCTATAAGTCAGTAATGTCCTCTTCGAAAATCATTATTTGTAATGGTTTTATATATCAAATAAGAATAAGCATATTTATTTTACAACTAGAATAATTTTACCTTTTAAACTAAAGCGTTCGGTAACAATGACAATGTTTTACAGCGATAAAAATGTGATTAAACAGCTGAATTTAAACATCATACATATGTGCAGAAAATAATTGCAAGAAACTTAATTAATAGTTTTACCTAATGTTCATATTTCATCTTTCTTAGGACAATTTTTGAATATTTATTAATTAATTAATTTATTTATTTATTTATTTTGCGCCTGACATAAGAATACAATTGATTAGATAAAATGCATGGAAAAGATCAGAGGCATTCCGAATAAATCGTTCATCTTGCGTTCACCGTTCGTTCACCGTTCACTTTGCGCTCGCGTTCGCGCTCCGATCGCGTTCTTCGTTCACTCACCGTTCAGCGTTCACCTACCGTTCACCAAGTTGCGTTCAGCTTTCACACATCGTTCACTCACCGTTCGCTCTGCGTTCGCTCACCGTTCGTTCTGCGTTCGTTCAACGTTCGCTCACCGTTGAAGTGGGAAAGTAGAACGTTTCAGGGACTGTAATATATAAGCCTTTTTGCCTCTGTGGAATATACGCCACTGTGGTTGAGGGTTTGTGCAATGAAATATATGGTGATAACGAACAGTATTCAAGCTCAAAAGTCCGTTAAACAATACAAATTTGGAGCAGAGCAAACACCGACCTCTAAAACATCAGAGGTGGGATCAGGTGCTATGGAAGAGTGAACATCCCCTGCCGACCGGTCACACCCGCCGTGTGCTCCTTGTCATGATCGGAAAATAACGGAAAATCCGTCGGCATTCCAGTGTGTAAATAATGGCCTAACAATTACTATGAAAAATGTCAGTCAGAATTTGACTTAATGATAAATTGTATTTGATGACAAGGTCATTGTATCGACCATAGAACTTAAGAAATGACGACTTTAAACGAGATTGCTGATATTCTTGTTTCATCAACTTGTTTAATTGTCAATAACTTACCTCGTTTTAGAAATTGTTCATACGTACAGCATGCTCTTGCGTATCGAATCAACTGAGAGATATAAACCCCGTATTCAGGTGATTGAGGTATATTGCTGCATAAGTAAGGGAAGTTGCAAAAAGTTGCAAACAATTTTTCATAAATGCTAATCCTACATCAGTAAAACTTTAAGGAGGGATTCTTGTCATATCTATTGTATTTAAAAATTAACGAAATTTTCAAAGATTCAAGATCATATCGTTAGGTAATGGTGTCAATTATGAATAAGATTAAATTTGACCATTTTATTTTAGCTTGCTCAGGTCAAGGTCATTAGCTTTTTCCTTGACCTTAAGAATAAAATATTTCTGTTGCCAAGCTTATAGTGCCTACTTCTATTTGGAAGGATTGTTTTCTTCTTGCATGAAACGATTTCACAATATATAGGGTCTATCAGATGATACTACCAAATTAATATACATAATTTAACTAAAATAGATATTGGTTAATCCGTATTTCCTCTATTTTTCTTAAATTTTTAGGGAATATTAGTGATTTTCAAATGCCTCGTGTTTATTTAATTT